GTCTATTGTAGCCGATGCGCAGGCATGGCTATAATACCAACTGTCTGGCAACTGAGACAAGCGAATCACAAGTTTGAGCATAGTTTGAGCAACAGAACAAGCCAGTCTCTTAATAATAAAATAATTTTATATTATAATATAAATAATAAATATAAATAAACTATATATAATAATATAAATTAATATATAAATAGTATAAAATGTTTAAGTGCCATGTTTGTTTTTGTTTTCTTTTATTGAGATGTAACCTGGTCTAGATTCTAATTCGCAATGAAGTCAAAACTGGTCTTGAACTCCTGACCCTCTAGCTTCTACTTCCCATGTGAAAGGATAAAGGGCATGGGGTAACACGCAAGCTTTGGATCACTGCTGGAGAGGGAGCCCTGGTGTGTGTTCATTTGTAGACTAGTACTCTACATCCAGACTCACTGATTACCAAAACCCAACCCAAACCAAAACAATAAAAACAGAACTATTTGTTACTGGGGGGGGGGGTATGTGTATTTATATTTTTTATCTATCTTAGGTTGTGAATATATGTGTATATATGTGGGTGCACATGTGCCACAGTGTGGGTGTGGAGGGTAAAGGACTACTTGCAGGAGCTCCTTCTCGCCTACTGTGTGGGGCTGGGGATCTAACTCAGGGCATCAGGCTGTGCTGTAAGCCCCCTTCCTTGCTCGCCAGCGCCGTACGTACAACAGCTGTTTCCCTGCTGGTTTTCGCTATTTTTATAGGAAAGGAAGGCAGATATGGGGTTAGGAGTGCTATAACTAATAAGCTCAGTCTCTTTTACTTAGGCCTGTGCTGCGTTCTTGAAGAAAGCCAGTCTGGAGATTCGTGGCGGCCGACGGTGTTTAGTGATGACGGCTGGCAGGTACAGAGGGAGTACATATTGTCCCCTGTCACACTCACACAAGTTCTGCATGGTCTGATCCTTTCACTCATCCTGAAACACAAAAGGTTGAGTACTCGCTTTGATCGCACAGCCGAAGTCCAAGCCCAAGTCATCTGGATGGGGGGAGGGGCGAATTCATACAACTTCGAGTGCACTGGGCATTCCTAGCACCTTGGCACTGCATTCACTGCCAAACTTTTGTAAATGAGGTGACCTCCCCAGCAGTGCTACTTCACCCCATTTCACAACATCCGCACAGCAGGGCCTGTCAGTCAGCCAGACTTGCTCCAAGAGTAGCACCCCAGGAAACCTAAACTCGCTGCAACCTGCTTTGCGATTCGCTTTCGCTAGGGAACTTTTAGAGCCACTTATATATGTGTATTTATATATGGACTACTTTTAACTTAAAGCTGGAAGTAAAAATAGCTGACAAGTATTAGCCACCTATTAACCAAAATATAGTAGAGAACTGCCAAGGAAAGAAATAAAACCAGCACAATGGAGTAGATCAACCGGGAACCCTGGGAGGGCTTTTGACAAAATCGGTTATGCAAATGGAGGCAACTATCCAGTGAGGTGGTGATGCCTCCTGACCCATTTTTCTGCTCCTACATCAACCACATATACATGCCTCTCCACGTCGAAGTATATGAGAACACATCATTTTTAACCAGACTTCCAACTTTATTACAAAGGCAGGAACACAAGGCAACGGAGTAGCTCTATGGGACAGTATGTTTTGGGCGCGTGGGAGAACCTAGTTTCAATACCCAGCACACACACAAATACATGAGAACACAAATGCTCACTCATATGGCGGGCTAGACAACTAGAACAGAGGTCACACAGCAAGATGTGTCAGCTTTGAAACATCATGGAGGATTCTTTAAGCATAACAAACAATATCAAGTTCAGCTCCAGCATTCCAAGAGCTCTGGTCCCGTACTTGTGCTCCTGACTTCTAGGTAGCAGGGGCAGACAAAGGAACTAAGGAACCCGGATGAAGAAGGCAGTCGTAGAAAAGTTCTCCAGGGAAGAAGTAAGTAGGATGCCATTTAGATGCGCAGGAAATAGACAACATTCCCCTCTCCTGGTTTAGTAGAACTGATCTGATTTTTCGGAGGGTGCTGGGAATAAACCCCAAGGGCTTTTGAATATCTACATCTTCTATGGAGCTATTCTTCAGCCTCCTGACTTGATTTCTAGATTAGAAAACCTTCATACTGATAGACTGAGTTTACACTTTTGGTCTTAAGTGTGTGTACATGTGTATGTGTGTGTGTTTTGTTTGTTTTATATTATACATGCATGTGTCTGGGGCATATGTGCAGGTGTCCTTACGGGTCAGAAGAGGGTATCAGATCCCACAGGGCCAGAGTTACAGAGAGCTGAGTCTTCTGATGGAGGCCCTGGAAAAGCAGTATGCACTTTTAACTGCCAAGCCGTCTCTCTTGTGCTAAACCTAGTTTTAAGTAAGAAATTTTGGTAGTGAAATGTACAGGTGTACTATTTCAGAACCGTGTGCTCAGGGCTGCAGAGATGGCTCAGTAGTTAACAGCATTAGCTGCTCTTGCAGAGAACATAGGTTTGGATCCAGCACCTAAATGGTGGCTCACAACTATCTATGACTTCAGTACCAGGAGATCTGACACCCTCTTCTTACCTCTGATGGCACCAGGCAAGCACATAGTATAAAAATATACGTGGAAGAAAAACATTTATACACATAAAATATTGAAAAAAAACCTAATGTGTGATCAAATCTAAGAAAATTAAACATAATAGGACAATGAAAAACAAGTTTTGATTCAATCCTTTAAAAAAACTATAAATAGGTCTGGTTGGAGGCACACACATTTAATCCCAGCACTCAAAAGGCAGAGCCAGGCGGATCTTTACAATTAGCTTGTTCCCGGGATGGCCCATGTTACATAATGAGACTCTGCCTCAAAAAACAAACAAAAAGTTGAAAATAAACCAAGTGTGAAGGTTCACTGTAGAGACAGGAGGATTAAGGAGTTCAAGGTTATTCTTGACTACACTTGGAGCTTGAGGCCAGTCTGGGCTACAGGAGATCCTATATGGAGGGGAAAAAAAAGGGAAAATAAATAACTTATAAATAACAGAATTTGTAAATAAAAAGAATTAAAAGTTTTTACTTTTATGTAAGAAACACAAGCTACTTAACTTCTGACACAAAGCACACACTCGGTTACATCTTCTTGTATTTTAAAATAATCTCTATAGCTTTGTAAGCATAGTTAAGGATTAGATTAGTTTTTTTTTTTTCCTTCTTCAAATCATTGTATTTCCAATTCCTCAAAAAGTATTTTAAGAAGTGCAGAGCAAGGTATGATGGTACAGGCCTGTGTGATCTTTGCACTCCAGGCAGTTGAGGAATTAGGAATACCAAGAGATACAGGCCAGCCTGGGGCTGGATCACAAAACCAGGTCTCAAAAATCCCAGAAGAGGCCAGAGAGAGCTCAGCAGGTAACTGCCCTTGCCGCCAGGATGAGTTTGGTGACCTGAGCTTGAACACTGGAGCCCACATGCGGGGAGGAGAGATCAACTCCTCCAAGTTGTCCTCTGATCTCCTCAGCTGCTGTGGCACGCTCAAACCCACATACCCACCACCACACGGTAAAAAAGAAAAACCACAGAAAGAAAAACGCGATTTAAACCAGCAACTCTGCCTCTCTGCCACCCCTACAACTCACTGTCTAGGTTGGGCTGGCCTCAAATTGGAGTCTCCTGACTCAGACTCCCCACCCCAACCTAGCTATTGTCATTGAAAACTATAGAAAACTCTTTACAAATGTAGATCAGAGAAACAACAAAAACAGGGCTTCACAGAAGTAAAACAAATGAATAAGACACAGGGAGCTGGCAATACAAAGTTCATAAAAATAATATCTCAAGAACTATAAAAAAGTACGTAGAAACTCAGATACTAATTAACTGTCTTACAGCCACAGCCAAACCAAGCCTGCTGTGTAGCTCCCAAATTCCACACACACCTGAACATTTCAGACCTCCAAAATGCACGCACTGGATTCACTCTCAGTCATGTTAAAGCATTTTCCAAAGTTTTAGAAACGAATGCACTACCGAACAGCTATGAGAAGAGTTAGCAATCACGAACAAAGGCTGAAGGCATTATGCTGTTTGCCAAAGATCAAACTTTTACAGAAATTCAAACCCGATCTCGTCACTTCCCAACACCAAACAGTAATTTTATATGCAAAAAGTTCGCGTTTGAATGCGTTCAGTTTCCCGTGCACTCTACTTACTTTGCTTTTTGCCATTTATAAGCTTCATTAAAGACACTCACAAAGAGGTAACCAGTTGAATGGAGTTAGGCTCGAATTAAAACAAACAAAAAACCACAGTCGTAAACTCTACCTACAAACTGACATCCCAGAACGCCAGGTGGGAAAGGTACCCTTTACAATCTACCATTATATATACAAGCCTCGGATTGTGAAACAACGCACTTTCGGCGCTGTACAATTACAAACACTCAACTCTACCCACTCCAGGAAATAAATAAATAAATAAAACAATCCACCTGCAGGCCTCATTGGTTCGCACAGTTCCGGCCCACATGGTGTCAGTGGGTGTTTCCCTCTACACAGGCCGTCTCACTGGCTGTATAGAAACACTGTTTAATAGGCTGTGATTTGGGGGATTGTCAAACTCCACGCCTCCAGACTTAAGCTTGCCAATGGACCCAAGATACGGTTACTCTGCGACTCAAAGGGCAAGCTTGGTAGCCTGAGCTGCAAGCCCCAAAAGATGTGCTCGGACAAGGGAGCAATGAGCCGGGGCTGTACCAGCCCTCCCTGTCCCGAGCCCCTGATCCAAGATTAGTCTGGTGCATGATCCCGGCCATCAATAAGGGCGGGCAGAGCATTCGCCTTTTTTCTACTGTGACCGCGAGACCAGCTACAGCTAGTTGTCAGGCGGATAGGACTAGCCAGGCGCCACCGAGGGCCACCACCTTCAGCGCTCGGCACCTCTAAGGGAAGCTACAGTCCAGAGCGGGCGCTTGGCCGTCCCCTCCACCGCGGGCACCGCCGCTCCCCTCGCGTCGGGACTTACGCGGCCTGTTCTTCCTCCCGGAGTCCATCCTTCTCCGCAGCCGGCATTTCTTGGCCGGAGAATCATGTTGGGAGAACAGTGGCGGCTGCTGCGGCTGAGGCTGCAGCTCGGACGAGAGCTGGAAGCGTGCAGGCAGCGGGTCGCGGCTGCAGGCGGGCGGCGGGTGGAAGCCGTTGTGCAGCAGCCCGTTCACGGTGGCCGCGGCGCCCTCGGGGGCCACCGGGGACTGCAGGGCCGCGCGCTCGTGCTGCGCGCCGCGCTCGCCCATGCCCGGGGCTGGCGGGGCGCTGCGCGGGCTCCGGTTCAGGCAGCCTCGCTGGCGGTCACTGTCGGGCGTTCTCCCGGCGTCCGACCCTCCCTGCGTCTTGTTATCCGGCAGCCTTAGCGCCGCGGCCGGGGGCTGGCGGCCCGGGCGCTCCTCCCCTCCCCCCGCCGGCGCCCCCGTGTCTTCGGCGACCTGGCTTCCGCGCGCCGGGCTGGCTGCTCCCGCCCGCAGCATGTCGGCCTCGCGTGCTGCACCGGGAACCTCCACGGACCCCAGCCGGGGCACCCGCCTCCCCCTCATCCCGAGGCCGAGCCACTTCAAATGCGGCTTCCTCGCCTCCCAGACCTGTCCCCGCCACTGAGCATGCCCAGTCCTGCCCGCCACCGCCACCGACGAGTTTTAACGTGCGGAATGAAGTTCTCAGGGTTTGCGAAGAGGAGATAGGCGGCTCGGGCTTTGTGTGGCGGAGCGAGCGCAAAGGGTACTAGGTGAGGCAGGCACGAGACAGCCAGAAGCCTCGGGAAGAATGCGGGAGGAAGCCAAATATTTGCAGAGGTTTCAGGTTTGCTAATCCTGTCCCCAGTGGGCTAGTACCTTCACAAGGTCACTCATGCCCACACCCCCGCCCCCGAAAGTGTGTGTGCCAGCGCGCGTGCGTTAATACGGCCAAACTACTCCGAGGTCTAAAGGGAGGGAAGAGAACAATTATTTATAGAAAGGTAGGCAGCCTTGGAGACGGAGGGGAGTGAAATTTCTTGGCTGGCACACGCACACAAACAGCATGTGTTCTTGAGTTAGTTGTGTTTTGCAGGGAGGAAACGTAGGAATACAGCCTGTGAGGACAGTGAAGGACGAAACTAGGCTGAAATAACCGGTGCTGGCAGAGACTAAGTAAACATATCCCAAACTATAAAAAGCGCATTCCTCACCCAGAAAAGACCGAGGGGGACTCCTGTTTATGGAGTAAAAAGTTGTCCCTGGCTATAAGTAGGGAAACCAGAATCACGAGCTCTGGAGTTAGCCAGTTAGTACGTGCCGATTCCTACTGTCACTGAGCAAAAGACAAATTCAGTACTTGGCACACCTGTAATGGGCAACCAGAGTGGCCGTTCCCAGCAGAGGGGACACACTTAGGTGTTGGTGATCTAGTGAGGCCTCAGCTTTTATATCTGTCCAAAAGGGATTTTTATTTTTCACAAAAGTACCTAGTGCAACCCTGGCTCATAATAAATGTTCACAGGGGTCTAATGTGAAAATTAAACTCAGTGCATCCTACGATGACTCCGTGGTAGGATGCTTCCTAGCACAGCGTTCTATCCCCCACAAAAGAGTAGAGAGAGAACATGAAAGCTGCAGGCCAATGTTTCAAACTACTATGAACAAAACAGGCAGAGACCAAACAGAAGCCCCTCTGGTAAGTTCCATATCACCACCCGGAAACTAAACTCTGACCGCCTGAGAAATCTGTATTTAAGTCTCCAAACAAGCCAGCTCAATAAAGTGAGCTTCCCTCTCTACCTTGCAAAAGTGACCTGTGGTTAACCTACTTGTTGCTTGAACTAAATCTTTCAGGGGCCCAGAACCAGCATTAACTGTGCCACGGTTTACAAGTGGTTTGAGGATTTCTTCCAGCGGAGCACTTTTCGAAAATCACACTTTCAGAATCAGTGAGTCCACCCCGTTCCTTCCACTTGTTTTTGTTGTTGTTGTTGTTTTCAGGCAAGCAAACTAAGGCACAAGAAATAACTGAGGTTAGGAGCAAAGCTAGAACACAACCTAAATCACTATCCTCTCTGCTTCCTTGAGTTACTATTTAATGGCTCCCAGAAGTTGCCTTAGGAAATCCAGCCCCTGCCCATCTGCAGCTTTCTGCTCCACTCCTTGGCAACTTGCTCCTTCAGGCTATAATCTCTCCCTACTCCCATCCCTGCTCATCTCTCCTTATTCTGGCTATAAAATACATGCAGCCTACCTGGTGACACAGGCCTGCACTCCCAGCTACTTAGAAGGGTAAGGGAGAAAGGCCTCAAGTTCAAGGCCTGCCTTAACTACTTAGTGTTTGGCTAGCATAGCATACACAGGGTTCTAGGTTCAGTCCCTCGAACTGTTAAAATACAATGCAAATACAATGCATGTTTCCTTAGTTTTGGAAGGTCACGATATTGGTAAAGTGGTATATTGTTTGTGTCTTAATAAATAAATCTTGCCTGAAGATCAGAGGGCAAAGCAGCCACACTAGTTGAAATACAGACACTTTTAATCCCAGGACTCAGGAGGCAGAGGCAGTAGACAGATCTCTAAGAGATCAGGCTATCCTGGGCTACACGAGATTGATCCAGAAACAGATCCAGGTGGTGGTGACTCACACCTTTAATCCCAGGGTTTGGGAGTCACACACGTTTAATCCCAGCACTAGGGAGATGGAGACAGGAGCCATTTGGCTGAGCAGAGAGAGGAATATAAAAGGAAGAGACAGGAACTCAGTGGAGTGTGGGGTCTGAGGATTCGTGGAAACAAGATCTTACCCTTTTGGCCTGAAGATTTGGTAAAGGTAAAGGGTATCTCTAGGGTTGGCTGCTTTGCTTTTCTGATCTTCAGCTTGAACCTCAATATTTTTCTCTGGGTTTTTATTATTCATGCAACATATTGAGATGTCACTTCATTGCTGCGGAGCTGAATTGAAAATGTAAGTATGGCTGAAGTGACCCAGTCACGTCTCGTTTGGTTGCTCTTTTTCCCCCACTGCTCTGTCCGCTCCATTAAGGTGGATGGCTCCTCCTCACTGTATCTCCAGGAAGTCCTGGGTAATCGCTTGGGGGCTGAACAAGTGACTCTAGTCTTGGGGCTTCTCACTTTCTTCAGTAAATTTGCTAAAGGCCCCCATGGCCACTTCTCAATATTCAGATTCTCGCCTACTCTTCACTGAATTCTTTAGCACTGCAGTAACTTCAAGGACACATCCTCCAGCTTGATTCCCAGGCGTGGTGAGGGAGCCTGGAGCCAAGTGGCTCCGACCCAGACAGGGCAAAAGTCCTGGTACAGAATGTCTCTCACCTGCTTCCCTTTCGGGCTGGTGCCCTGGTTCCAGCCTGGGGGAAGCCAGGCGACACCCCACAGGTTTATTCACGGGTATGCATAGGTGGTGACCATGAGCCATCATGTGCTCCAGGAGAGCTGGGACAAATAATGTTTGAGAGTGCAGAAGGGGGAGGCCCACAAGCTGCTTCTCTCTGTTTCTGCTCATTCATGATGTAGTCAGCCATTTATTAAGTGCTGAAGACCCTAAAACAGACTTTAGGGGTGCAAAGGCAAGATCGATGCCTTTGCTGCACTCAGAAGGTTACAGCTTACTAGACAGAGATCATTGGTTTTCTCACCTCAGTGTCCTAAGAATAATGCAGAGTCCACAGGCCTTGTCTTGTGTTCTGCGTGTTGGAGTACGGGCTTTCCGCATGCCAGCCAAGCGCTTTATCGTTGAGTTACTCCTCCGCTCCCTCTTGCGCTCTGAGGCAGGAGCTCACTAACACGCCAAGGCTGGTCTTGACCTCTCTCTGTCGCCAAGTGGGCCTTGGATTTGTGATTCTTTTCCCTTGGTAGATAGGATTACAGGTCTGCACCAACAAATCCAGTTGAGAATTTTTACTTTTCCTGTGTTTCTTAAGAATCTCACTGTGTAGTCCTAGCTGTCTGGCCGGGGACTTGATTTGTAGACCAGGCTGGCCTTGAACTTTCAAAGTTCTGCCTGCCTCTGCCTCCTGAGTACTGGGATTAAAGGTATACTGAGAATTTTGTTTGTTTTGTTAGTCCTTGAACTAACCCGTGTAGCTGAGGGTGGCCCAGAAATCTTGATTCTCCTGTCTCTGTCTCCTAAATTCTGGGATTACAGATACTACACCCAGCAGAAAATATTTACATTTTTAATTTTCTTTTTTATTTTGTTGCCTTTAGCGACTGAGTAATATCTGCAGTCCTTAATTTCTTTTTTAAAAGAGGGCGTTGTAGTTGAAGATGAGTGTAGTGGCTCATGTCTGTCATCCAAATTGCAACGCCAGCAAGGGCTACATAGTGAGCTCCTGTCTGAGAGAGAAAGAGGGAGATTTCTCAGCCTCTTTGTACCAAGTACCTTGACCTGTAGGCATGAGTCTGCCTAACTTCATTCTTACCTTTCTCTTTCTCTTCAGCTCCTCCCAGCTTTCCTCCCCAGCTCTTATGCCCTCCCCTCCTCCCTCCCTCCCTTTTTATGCGGGTATGCGTGTACATGTGAATAAATGATTAGGGGTTGTGGTGCTTGGGATGGTAACCTGCCAGGGCAGATGCTCAATCACTGAACTATAACCTTTGCCTTGTAACCTGCTTTTATTTTTCTTTGCTTGTTTGCTTCATTTGGAGCTCCATCCTCTTGTGTAACCCTGACTTGCCTAGAACTCCCTGTGTAGACCAGTTGGCTTCCTTTATTTCGAGGCAATCCTCCTCTCTCTACCTCCTAACTCCATGCCCTGATACTTGGAACTGTAACCTCATGAAGCCCTGGCTGGCCTGGAACTTGCTGTGTAGACCAGCTGGCTCCCAAGTGCTGAGATTAAAGGTGTAAAGGTGTAATAGCATCACACCCACCACTGTGTTAGTTTTTGAGACAGAGTTTCATTAAATGATTCCATATGGTACTTGCGATTTATTTTTTGTAAATTAATTTTTAGCTTAGCATATAAGATATTGAGTTTTGTATTATTATACTTTTCGCCATATGTTCCCCTCTTACACTCCCTCCCTTTTGCTGGTTCTCTTTACAATTTATTGTTAATTTCTGAAAAATGCAGATAAAACCCACCCGCTGTGCCATAATTATTCACTATTATTGGAAAAATCGTAACAAAGACAAACAGGCCCAAGCGTAAGCTTAAGTCAAAAAGAGGGCTCCATCCCCCATCTTGGAAAAACAAGAAGAAAAACAAAACACAAAAAGAAAAAGACATACACACACACACACAACACAACACACACACATCTGTGCTTTTCTGCATTCATCCCATCAGCTGACCTATGAGCTCTGAGAACAGAAACAGTCGAGACTCATTGTTAAACCTAAACTCTCAACACCGAGGGATCTAAGGGACAAGTGTTCACAGCATCACTAGAGATGAAGAAGAAAGCCAGGTCTTGAACCACCTGTCCATATCCACCAGCACACTGACTACACGGGCACTGGGGAGAATATGTTAGGCCTGGAGTTCAGAGCTTTTTCAGTTTTGTTCTGGTTTTGGTTTTGAGACAGGGTCTCACTGTTCAGCCTTAAACTTGCGATCCTTCTTCCTCAGCCTCCCAGATGCTACAGATATAGGCATGAGCCACCAGGCGGGCTTAGTTTAAATTTCTTAGTTTCTTTCTCTGTCCTTGGTTTCTGAGACAGGGTTGTACCCTGTAGTCTCAAGTGCTTGTCCCCAAGTTCCTAAAATCATTTATTGAGGGTAAAGAGTATCTTTTATATGAATGATAGCTCCTCCCCCTCTTCTTTAAAATCATAACTGATTTTATTCTAACTAGATAGCTCAGGCTGGAGCCAGAGACGGGCTCCAGATAAGGCCCAGCACCCGAAACTAAAGTCATCAGAAAATCAGAGAGCTCAGACTTTGTCTTTCTTAGAGGGAGGGCAAAGAATGGGAAGCCAGTGTCTTACTTTAACCCAGGCTGGCCTGGCACTTACTGTGCAGCCCAGAATGGCCTTGAACTCTCAGCTTCTCCACGCTAGGGTGATAAACATGAATCATCACAGAAGGATGAGGGTTGAATTTTCAGTCCCATCTAACAACCTTCAAGAAGCTTTGAGTGGCTAGAGACTAAACTCTGTAAAACACTTGGATAAGGGACTCAAAGAGACAGAAGGAGCAAGCGCAGACGTGCATGGATCTGCACCAGGTCCTCTGCATATATGTTGTGGCTGTAAGCTTGGTGTTTTTGTGAGACTCTTAGCAGTGACAGTGGCTGTATCTTTGACTCATTGTCTGTTTCTGGGACTCTTTTCTTCCTGTTGGGTTGTCTTGTCCAGCCTGGATATGAGGGCTTTTGCCTTGCCTTCTTGTATCATGTTTTGTTGTGTTTGTCTCTCTTGTAGGCCCACTCTTTTCTGAAGAGGAAACAGAAGAGATGTGGTGATATTTTGTTTGTGCTCTAACAAATAAAGTTTCCCTGAAGATCAGAGGGTAGGGCTAGCCACTAGTTAACCATAGAGGTCTAGAGGTCTGGGCAGGGAGAGAAATATAAGGCGGGAGGAAACAGGAGCTCAGTCCCTGTTCGGCTGAGGAGTTGCAAGGAAAGAATTAACTCTGGCTTGCTCCTTTGTCTCTCTGATCTTTCAGTATTTACCTCGATATCTGACACTGGATTTTTAGTATTAAGATCAATTAGAATTCGTGCAATAAGGAGGAATGTATCTAGGGAAGAGGATAGACTGTGGTCAGAACATATTATATGAAAGAAAAAATCTATTTTGAATAAAAAAGAAAAATTTAATGATCTTTCATGTTGTTCTAATTTTTGTTCTCTTTTTAAAACAGGGTCATCTCATATAGTCCAGGGTGTCATCACTACTAATCCTCCTATTTTGACTTTCCAAGTACTAGGATTGCAACCCTGCACCACCAAGCCCAGCACTTGGGTTTACTTTTTTCAAGTTAGCCCTGCCCCTATACCTTGCCAGTATATCCTTTCATCTAACTGTACATCTGAATTCTTTATAAGTGGGTAAACCTAAGTAAAGTATGTCCATGAATTATTTCCTATGTCAACAACAACAAAAGCCAGCTACAACATCGAAAGGAAAAAAGGATAGTTTATTGTGGAACCCAGTATGAGTAATTGTGACCCAGGAACACAGACTCAGGTCACTTCCAATCCTATGTTTCAATGTGGTAACAATTTCATACGGGCTTTTGTTTGTTTGTTTGTTTTGTTTTATTTGAAACAAGGCCTCTCTATTATGTAACTCTGGCTGTCCTGGAACTTTCTATGTAGACCAGGCTGACCTGGAATGTACACCTGCCTCTGCCTCCCACGTTTTGAGATTATAGACATAGGTCATCATGCCCAGTTTCAAGGATCTTTTATAGTAAGAGAAAAAGTAAAGTTACAAATCAAGACACTTTCAAAATACATTGCTAGAAACATCAGGTAGGTGGAATAGGACAAAGCCTGGAAATCTGTTTCTGATTTTGAGCCTTGTGCTATAGTGATATTCTTAGCTTTTAGATTGGGGGGAGCAAGTGGCTTGCTAAAAATACATTTTAAAGGGTTTTTCTAGTTTTTGGATAGTTTTTGTTTTGTTTTGTTTTTTTGATAGGCACACCATGTTAGTTTGGTCATAGAGGTGGGCAAGGAGTGGCTTTCAGGGGGACTAAAAATAGCCCAAGCTAACTTAGCTTTGGCCTATACCATTTTAACTTTCCACAGTTATGAAATTTAGTCACTTGACCATGTAGAATCTTCAATGCACACCGGCTTGCTTTTTCCTTCCTTAGGAACCTGAGTTTACACTAGCAAAGTTTGAACCTAAGGAAAAAGTTCATGGGATACGAACCGTGTAGCCAGCTAGTCAGAGCACGGATCACATAGCTGGGGCTTACAGCTGGTGTCTGAGGAAGAGGCGGGCTCTTGGTGCCGAGTCCTCACTCAGCCTGTATGAAGTAACCTCCAGGTGGATAGTGTTAGAGCTGAGCTGTAGGGCACCCACCCCCACATCTGGGTACAGGAGCCTCATGTGTTGTTTTTTTCTCACTGTGGGAGGATGGAGAGCCGGTGTTTTTCTCTACTCCCACACACTTCCTAACTCTGCTGCAGTGCCTCCTCAGAGAAAGCCAGAGAAACTGCTTCTCCCTTGGCCCGAAGACCTGATGGGGTGTCTTCCCATGGCTGTGTAACATCCACTGCCAGCACTGCATAGAGTTCTTAACCGTGATTGGATGGCTTTGCTTCTCCTTCTCACTGGTATTTCCGTTCAAGCATCTTACAGTCTTGTTTACAAAAGACACTTTTTATCCTTAAAGCAATTTCCTAAGCTGGGCATAGAAGCAGCACCCATGACTGCAGCATTCAGGGGTAGACACTAGGGACTAGGAGTTTGGGGCCAGCCTAGGCTACATAATGAGACCCCGTCTCCAAAAACCAAATCATCTTTTTATTTTTAAAAAACAAAAAACTTAGTATGCAAGCCTGGCAATGTTAATTTGATCCTTGGAACCCTTGTAAAGGTCCAGAGGCCACAAAGTTGTTTTTTACGAAAAAGGTAAACATTTCAAATTCAATCCCCGGCAACAACAATAATAATGATGAAGCCCCAAATTCTAGCTGTGTTCTGTTTTCTTCTTAACTCTGTAGATCTGTACACAATGACTGCAGGTTTCTTTTGAAGCCAGGGATGTCCCCACTCCCACTGGAGATGGATTTATATACAACTGTAAGCTGCCTGACATGGGTACAAGGGCCTGAATTCAGGTCCTCTGAGAGAGTAAGCCCAGGGAGTGCTCTTACAGTCTCACAAAATACGTAAACAACTGTTTTAATTGATGGCCACTGCTACAAGTACTGAGTTTACAGAACTGGGGGTATGGCTCAGGGGTAGAGAACACTTGCCTGCAAAGCCTAACTGTTAGAGAAAAAAAAAATCCTGCCAAGTACTAGATTACCTTAATAACCGAGAGGGGGGGAAAGTCCCCTCCCACTACAGATGACACATTCTTCTTGAAGAAGAATATAGCAAATATGTAAGTCAGTAAATAAATACAGGTTCTTAAGAGACACAACAATGAAAATAGTATAAAAACACAGTAAGTGGAAGAGGGGTGTCTTAGGGTTTACTATTGCTGTGAAGAGGCACCGTGACCACAGCAACTCTTATAAAGAAAACATGTAATTGAGGGTGGCTACCTTACAGTTTCAGAGGTTCGGTCTATTATGATCATGAAGCGAGTATAGAAAGAGGCGGTATAAGAAAGCCACCCATGTACACCTCAGCCCAGGCCACTGTGCCTGGTCTGTATTGTGAATGGGGAGACATGGATTTGAGGGAGTCTGGGATCTGATAAAAAAAGAAAAAAAAAGATCATGAAGGGAAGCATGGCGGGCGGCATGCAGGCAGGCGTGGTGCTGGGGTTGAGAGTGCTCCATCTTGTAGCTGTCACCCTGAGTGATGCTTGAGAAAAAGCCTCAGAGCCCACCCCCACAGTCACACTTCCTCCAACAAGGCCACAACTCCTAATAGTGCCACTCCCTTTGGGGACCATTTTCTTTCAAACCACCACAAGGGGTCTATTTGTAAGGGAGTAAGAAAGAAATCACATTATGTTGGTAACTGAAGGATGAGGTGTGACCTGTCCTGTAATGAAATGGAAGAAAAAAAAGAATACCTCTGTGCATATGTGTGTGTGTGTGTGTGTGCGTATGTGTACATACACTCTTGCTTGCATACATACCATTTCTCTAGAATCAAAGTTCCATGATGTTAGGTGTCATGACCGTCATGTCAGCAGCCAGCCAGGCACTGATCTGCAGCAGTAGCTGAGAGCTTTGTCAGATTACAAGTATAAGACAAAGAGAGAGCTAACTAGGAATGCTTGGGTTTTTGAAACCTCAAAGCTCCCTCCTGGAGATACACCTCCTCCAACAAGACCACACCTCTCAATCCTTCCCTATGTGGACCAAACATTCAAACCACAACACTGGGGATACTGGTGAAGAGAGTATGTGCACACGTCCTCAAGAATAATAGAAACGAAGGAGGTTCTTACATGATAGGCCCTTCTGGACCTCTGGATTCGCTTTGCCTGCTTTATTTTCCAGGCTAAGACATCTACAAATAGTGAAGCTTCTCAGCTGCAAATGAAGCTACCTGGTTTTCTCTTTTTCATATTTAACACAGCCCACAACACTCCTGTGACCAAAATGTATGGGACTCTCCTACCCATCACACCTATACTAAGGAAATAGCCAGCAGTATTGTCAACCTGCAATCCATTTCGGTTCTGCCACTCTTCAGATCCCAAAGGCCAAGTGTCAGTCTCCCAAGACCTCTTAAGTCATCCAGTGCTAAGTGTAAGTGCCAGGTTGTGTCCTCCATATCTGACCGGCCAGCTACAGAATCAGGGTTCTCATACTTTCTCCTTGGCTTTGATTATTGGCTTGAGTAGCTCGAAGACCTCCAGTGACTATGAAGGATATTGTTAAGGATACAGATGAGCAGGAAGGTAAAGAGATGCATGAGTCAAGGTATGGTGGAGGAGTTGGGGATGGAAATGTACTTTTTTAATTCTACAAGATATTCCTTAGATGATTTCAGGATAGATGATAGATGATTTCAGAATGTTAGCGAAGCTTTGAGAAGGAGGTGAATGACCTAATTCCACCCATTCCTGTCTGCTAGCCTGTGGTAGGCATTTGATACAACTGTAGTCCAAGAAAGATAATGTAAATTGGTCAAGAGATATTTTAGAAGTGAGGCATGGTAGTACAGACCTGTAACCCCAGCACTCACTCAGGAGGAAGAGGTAGGAAGATGACCTCAAGTTCATGGCCAGCATAACCTACATAGTGAGTTTCAGGTCACCCAGGGTTATATAGCAAGACCCCGTCTCAAAAATATTTTTGTTCTGATAAAAACAATATTTTGTTATGGTTTGAATATGACATGGAATTCCATAGGCTTATCCCCAGCTGGTGATATGATTGTGAGAGGCTCTGGAAACTTTAAAAGATAGAGCCTGTAAGAATTAAGTCTCTGAGGGTGAGTCCTATACATGTGTGTATGTGTGTGGGATGTGTCTTGTGCCTGCTCCCATCCCATCTGTCTCTCCGCCTCCTGTTCTCATGATGTCAGTAACTCTCCCCTGCCCCTGCTCCTCTACCCTGAGGACAAACAGGAATAACCTGAATCCTTCAAAGCCACGAGCAACTCACATTTTCTGTCTCTGAAGCTACCATGTTTCTTGCCATGAAGATAATGGACTAAATAAATCTCTGAAACTGCAGGTCCCAATTAAATGTTTTCCTTTAAAAGAGCTGCTGTGGTCATGGTGTCTTTTCACAGCTGTAGAAACCCTAACTAAGACACCCAGCAGCACAGAGTAATGAATACAAAGGAACTGGCTGGAAACCAATCTGAGGTTGCTGCCAACTGCAAACAATGGGACAAATGTGCACAAAAAATAATTTGGGGATTTATCAAGATATATAAAATATGAAGAAATCTGCAAGGTCATCCTGTCTCTTGCATGACCCTGGGGATTGAAATCATGACTGGGTTGCATACATTCATTACAAACATTGTCAATGAACTATATCCCTAGCCCAAAATTATTGTTTTTGAATTGGTTATTATTAGGGAATTTTGATGAATAGATTCTCTATTTTTGATAGTGGTAGGCCAAGGGAGATATAAAACATTTGCCTCTCCTTTATTGTCTGTACCTGCTAGATAGTTTAATAATAAATAAGAAACTTTCTCTTCATACATCTGATTTTTATAGTTTCTCTTTATTGAAAAAAAGGGATTTCCTCAAGACCTAGCAATGCCACTTTTGTGTATATACTCAAAAGATGCTCAGTCATACCACAAGGTTATGTGCTCAACTATGTTCATAGCAGCATTGTTTGTTATAGCCAGAACCTGGAAACAACCTAAATGCCTGTTGACCAAAGAATGGATAAGGAAAATGTGGCACATTTACACAATGGAGTACTACACAGTGGGGGAAAAATAATGACATCTTGAAATTTGCAGGCAAATCAATGTATCTAGAAAACATCATATTGAGTGAGGTAACTCAGACCCAGAAAAACAAATATAGTATGTATTCACTTATAAGTGGCTTTTAGACATAAAGCAAAGAAAAACCAGCCTACAATTCACAAACCCAGAGAACCTAGACAACATGAGGACCCTTAGAGAGACACACATGGATCTAATCTACATGGTAAGTAGAAAAAGAAAAGATCTCCTGAGTAAATTGGGAGCATGGGGACCATGAGAGAGGGTTGAAGGGGAAGGAAGAGGGAGGAAAGGGATCACTGATGTCCTCTGAGTTCCACACAAACACAGGCAACATACAGCTTCCACAGCCTCATAAGAACCAGAGAAGGCAACAGGAAATGAGGAGTAAAACAACCGCTCAGCAGAGACCAGACACCAGCATGTAGAATTACAATCTTCCAGAACCCAAACGCCTGGATGGCAACATAAAAACATAATGAAAACCAGCATGGGCAATATGTCTCACCTGGAGCCCCGTAACCCTACCACAGTGGGTGCTGAAAATCCCAACATAGCTGAAACGCCAGACAAAGATCTTAGAATAGCATTTAGGAATATGATAGAGATCCTTAAAGAGGAAATGAAGAAATCTCTTAAGGAAACCTATGAAAACACAAAGAACAGTGGAAGGAAAGTAATAAAATAGTTCAAGTCACTATTTTAAAGTCACTATTTGAAGAAACACCACCACCAAGGCAACTCTTGGTAAGAAATTCAGGAATTCAAACAAGAACCTCAGAAGCAATCCTCACTAATAGAGTACAAGAGATGGAAGAGAGAATCTTGGGCATTCAAGACATAATAGGAGAAACCTTAACAGTTTCTTAATCAAAGAAAATGTTAAAAACAAACAACAACAATAAAAAAAAAGGACACAAAATGTCCAGGAAATCTGGGACACCACGAAAAGATCAAATCTAAGAATAATAGGAATAGAGGAGGAAGAAGAAACCCAGGTACAGAAAATATTTTCAACAAAATCATATACGAAAATCTCCCTAACCTAAAAAAGGAGATGCATATCAATGTACAAGAAGCACACAGAACACCAACTAGACTGGGCAAGAAAAGAAACTTCCCTCGGCACATAATAAACACCAAAGGTTTGGGATAGACAATAGGGACTTTGAAGCTGAATTGAGCGCATTTTTGCATAATGATATGACTATAAGCCTTTGAGGGTTAGATACTAGAGTGCGGTGGTTTGAAAGAAAATGGCCCCCAAAGGGAGTGTCACTATTAGGAGGTCTGGCCTTGTTAGAGCAGGTGTGATCTTGTTGGAGCAAGCGTGTCACTGTGAGCTTTGAGGGCACACCCAGTGCCTCAGTCTACTTCCCTACTTCCTGTTATCTCTGCAAGATGAAGAACTCTCAGTTACCTCTCCAGCACCATGTCTGTCTGCACGCTGCCATGTCCCACCATAATGAAGCTGTCAGACCGCTACTAAATGATGTTTTTCTTTATAAGATTGCCATGGTCACACCATGGGACTATATAAGTAAATCATAAATGAAAGAAATAAACAAAGGTACAAAACAAAGAAAGAATATTAAAAGTTGAAAGAGAAAAAGACCAAGTAATATATAAAGGCAAATCTATTAGGAAAACACCTGACTTCTCACTGGAGAATCTAAACCCAGATGAGCCTGGACAGATGTTCTACAGATTCTAAGAGACTACAGATGCCAGCTAAGACTATTATATCCAGCAAATCTTTGAATTATAATAGATGGGGGAATAAGATATTTCATAATAAAACAAAATTCAAGCAATATCTACAGATCAATCCAACTCTTCAGAAAACACTAGAAGAAAAACTTAAACCTAAAGAGGCTAATGACACATGTGAAAACATAAGGAATAAACAATTCCAGATCAGCAAAATAAAAGAGGGGAAACACACACACACACGTAAAATAATAGGCATCAACAAACACTGCTCATTGTTATCTTACATCAGTGGTCTCAATCCCCAAATAAAATGGCACAGACTAACAATGTATTCAAAAACAGAATCCATCCTTCTGCTGCATCCAAGAAACACACCTTAACATCAATAATACATAGCACCTCAGGTTAAAAATATGGAAAAAGTTATTCTAAGGAAATGGATCTAAGAAGCAAGCTGGTATAGTCATTTTAATATCTGATAAAATTGGCTTCAAAGCAAAACTAATCAGAATAAATAGGGATGGACACCATGTACTCATCAAAGGAAAAATTTACCAAGAGGATTTTGGATTTTGCAGTTTTTAATATCTATGCACCAAACATAACGGAACCCAAGTTCATAAAAGAAACACTACTTCAACTCAAAGAACATATTGACCTCACACACTGATAATGGCAGATTTCAATACCACACTCTTGCTAATAGTCAGGTCACCCAGATAAAAAGTAAGTAAAGAGGACAGGCCGTGGTAGCGCACGCCTTTAATCCCAGCACTTGGAAAGCAGAGACAGGTGAATCTCTGTGAGTTCGAGGCCAGCCTGATCTACAAGAGTGAGTTTCAGGACAGGCTCCAAAGCTGCAGAGAAACCCCATCTCAAAAAAACAAAAAATAAAACAAAACAAAACAAAAAGTAAGCAAAGAGATACTGGAGCTAATGGACAACCAAATGGACCGAACAGATGCTTATAGAACATTTCATCCAAACAAACACAAAACAATACCTTCTTCCTAGCACCTCACAGGACTTTTCCCAAAATTGACAGCATCTTCAGACACAAAACAAATCTCAACATAGACAAGATATTTGAAATATGTATCCTATATGACCACCATAGATTAAAGATGGATATCAACAACACCAAAAACAATAAAAACCTCAACAAACTTATGGACACTGAAAACTCACTACAGAGTGAAAATGGGTTAAGACAGAAATTAAGAAACAAGATTAAAAACTTTCTATAATTAAATGAAAATGAATATACAGCATACCCAAATTTATGGGACACAGTAAAGGTAGTTCTAAGAGGCAAGTTCACAGCACTAAGTGCCTATATAAAAAAAAAATTAGAGCGATCTCATACTAGTAACTTAACAGCATGCCTGAAAGCTCTAGAACAAAAAGAAGTGACTGTTGTGTGATACTTTGTGTTCTGGCAAACAAAACTTGCCTGGAGTGCAGATGGCAAAGCTAACAGCTAATTAACTATGAGGCCAGGCAGTGGTGGCACACACCTTTAATCCCAGCTTTTGGGAGGAGGAAGCAGGAAGATCAGGAGTTCAAGGCCACCTTGAACTGTGTGAGATTGAACCAGTCTAAAAGAAACAGCTGGGCAGTGGTTCATACCTTTGATCCCAGCACTTGGGATCTCAAGCCTTTGATCCTGGTACTTGGGAGGCACACACCTTTTATCCCAGCACCAAGGAGGTAAAGACAGGAATGTAAGATGGGTGGAGACAGAATCTTGGGCCCATTCAGTCTGAGGATTCATAGAGACATGATCTCTTCCATTCAATCTGAAGATTCATAGAAACAGCATCTCCCCCATTTAGTCTGAGGATTCATAGAGACAGAATCTCTCCTATTCAGTCTGAGATTTAGTAGAGTTAAGTTTCTGGTAGCTGGCTGCTCTCCTTCTCTGATCTTTCAGCTTTTACTCCAATATCTGATTCCTGGTTTTATTTGATAAGTCTAATTAGGATCACACTTCCAGTTACAGTCACCCTAGAAATTCCACAGCGGAACTGCTACAGCCGGTAAACACTTTCAGCAAAGTAGCTGGATACAAAAATTAACTCACAAAAATCAGTAGCCCTTGTATAAATAAATGACAAATGGACTGAGAAAGACATTGGGGAAACAACACCTTTCATAAATGGTCCCAGATAATGCAAAGTGTCTCAGCATAACTCTAACCAAGCAAATGAAAGGCCTATATGATAAAAACTTCAAGTCTTTGGAGAAACTGAAGAAGATACCAGAAGGTGGAAAGATCTCCAGTGCTCATTAATCAGTAGGATTAACATAGTAAAAATGGCCATCCTACCAAAAGCAATCTACAGACTCAGTGCAATCCCCATCAAAATTCCAACACAATTCTTCACAGATCTTGAAGAGACCTCAACTTTGTATGGAAACATAAAATACCCAGGGTGACAAAAACCATCTCAAATAAATAAAATAACTGCAAAAGGCTCACCATTCCTGATCGCAAGTTATACTACAAAGCTATAGATGTTTTTAAAAGAGCATAGTATTAGTATAAAACCAGACATGTTGATTAATGGAATTGAATTGAAGACCCAGACTTAAATCCACACACATATGAACACCTGAGTTTTTTCTTATATAGAAGCCATATATAAAGACATAATGGGAAAAAGACAGCATCTTCAAAAAAAATTTGTTGGTAAAACTGGATGACTACATGTAGAAGAATGCAAATAGATCCATATTTATCATCGTACACAAAACTCAACTCCAAATTAATCAAAAGCTCAACATAAAACCAAATAAATACATTGGGCTTACGAGGTTTGTCTGCATGCTGGGGTGAAATGTTTGGGCTCAGGTAGGTCGTAGTGGGATTTCTCGCTGCAGCGGCTCCCATGGCTCTTTTCTGCCTCCTCGGCCAGGATGCCTGTTCCTTGGGTCTGTGGACCCACCCACCCAGGCCGGAAACAATGTGCCCACCCCTTGGCAGGTTGCCTGTGTTTTGAGGGTGTCTTCACCACAGTCTTCATGAAACCATCAGCTTTCCCAATCCCTGGCTTCAGTTAGGTTGTTGATGTGCTCGAACTGTTCTTGTTCTAGCTTAGGAAACGTCTCTCGTCATTCGGGTGTGTTACACCTTTACACCTGTGTATGCTTTATGTTGACTTCTTTGTGTATATAAAATAACTAATTATGGATTATTACTTCAGACTTACTACTGATTAGTAAATCAGTTTAGTTTTTTTGTCTACTGTTTACTCCTGTAATCATATATTTCCTACTGTCTAGTGTGTGTGTATTGATTTTTCAAGACAGAGTTTCTTTGTGTAGCCCTGGCTGCAGGCTGGCCTGGAACTTAAAGAGATTAACCTGCTGCTTCCTCCTGAGAGCTGGGATTAAAGGTGTGTACCAGCACGAACCTTTTGTGTGTGTGTGTGTGTGTTTGTGAAACAAACCCTTAAACCTTGGCAAACTCTTTGCATCATTCTTTTAAAATCTGTAAAATGGGGATAATAGCATTTACCAAAAGGGTTGTGGTGAAGAATAACCGAGTTAAATTGTATAAAACACAATGGCCAAGAACAAATTAGAAGGGCAGAAGTCCAGGAATGTATTTCATATAGCCAGCCAAAAAAAAACCTTCAAGGCTAAAAACAAGGCAAAATCAGTTACTACTAATCTTAAGAAGATAAACATTATGAATGATGAAAAAGTCAACAGAATGAACAGAGCTTTTGTAGACATACAGAAAGAACTTGCAAGCTTTTCAAACAGCCTTTCTCTTAAAACTGTGCAGAAAGAGCTGAAGCACCATGAAAATGAACCAGCTAATGTTGATGAAGCAACAAGACTAAACGGCTCAATTGTAACACTGTGACAGTATAGCACACTCCCCCTAAGATCAATAAATTGAACGTTTTATAAAAACAAAACAAAACAAAACCTAAAAAACAAAAAACAAAACAAAAGAAAAAAACAAATACATTGAACCTGATAGATGAGAAGGTAGGAACAGCCTTTAACTCATTGGCACTGGAGAATACTGTCTGGACAGAAGGCTATTAATGCAGACACTAAGATCAGCAAAGGCTTCTGCATGGTAAAACACACTGTCGTTCAGACAAAGCAGCAGCCTACAGGACAGGAAAGGATGTTTACCGACTGCATTCAATAGATGTGCTGTAGACCAGGCTGACCTCAAACTCAAGAGATCTGCCTGCCTCTGTCTCCTAGGTGCTGGGATTAAAGACCATGTGCCACCACCAACTTTTATTTTATTATTATTCCTAAAATGCCTGTTGATTTTCTAAGGAGAGAGAGAAAGGGAGTGGATCTGGATGGCAAGGGAGGTTGGGAGGAACTGGAAGAAGTAGATGGAAAGGAAACTGTAATCAGGATATTTTATGTGAGAATAAAAGCTATTTTCAATAAAAGAAAAATAATATTAAAACATATTGTGAAGCTGGGCCAGCATTGATCTCCAGCTGCATGTCCTTGAAGGAACACTCAGTGTACTTGGCCTGACCTGCACGATTACCCCATATCTGCCGGGGCTGCTGGATGCCCTTCAAGCTGTCATCTCCTTGGCACAAGCAACACATGATGAAATTATCACTGGATATAAGAAAATCCAGAAAAAAGTCTTTATCTTGTAATGTGTCTTTAAAATTTTTTTGTGGATGTTTACCAACTTTAAAGGGAAGGAGGAAAGAGCAGGAATATATATATTCCACAAGGAAGGAATATGTGTGAAATGGGTAGAGATTATAGAAATGGCATTTATTTCAAATCCTTGTCTTGCCCTTAACTGACTAGCTGTGAGGTGATTTGAGGCAAGTTGCCTAACAGCTTTCTGCTTCAGTTTTCTCAACTTGAAAATGGTGATAATATCTATCTTGTAGAATTGTTCAAAGGTTGAGATGACATGTGAAAAGCAATTTGAACAGTGCCTGGAAAATAGTGCTAAATTGGCAGTAGTTATAATTATTGATTTGAAGAAGTATTTATTGGAGCCTACTGGTGACAGATGTTAGACTGCTAGAAATAATAACTCGAAGAGAACATGATTCCTATTGTGCTAAGAATGATAGGCGTGAATTATATGTGGAAAGTAGAAGAACGGGGAGAAATTCATATTCATCTAGGAGTACAGAACGTGGAGCATTTCCTTTCTTATGGGGAAGGTACGAGATACTCCCTACAGGAGGTGATCTTTAGTACCAAGTGTTAAAAGAGTGAGTAGATATTTGCCACGTGTGTTGGGGGGGGGGGGAAGAAAAGTTATTCTGGATGGACACATACACACAATTACTCTCTGCTTTTCAGGGAGAATAGAAGGTATATGGGGAGGTAGGGCTGGTGAGGATGCTGATGTAGCTGAATGTAATGCACAGTACGTTTGTGTTATGATGAGTATAAATCCCAAGCAAGCACCACAAAGATATTAGCGAATCAAGTTTGTTTCTGCGGCAGATGGTGATGGGAGTTATTTCCTAAGCAGAGTGTGAAAGTTGTTTCTAAAGCAATGGCCCCTTGCAGCAAAGGAGGCAGGGGTATTTTATTCAGGAGCCTACACATATAGAAGAATGCAATCAGCTTACAATATCAAGAAGAAAATGGGTCCATTTTTGGACATGCATAGTTCAAACTATGAAGCATATTTAGAAGGTTAATAGGTAGATAGGAACACCTAAGGGCAACTTTGCTTGTATCACAGTTTTAGCAGAATGTATGTGGTAGTCTAGATGTGATTTGCCCCCATAAGTTAATAAGGAGTGGCACTATTAGGAGGTGTGGCTTGTTGGAGTAGGTATGGCCCTGTTGGAGAAGTGTGTCATTGTGGAGGTGGGCTTTAATTCTCATATGTATGATCAAGCCATACACAGTGTTTCAGACCATTCCCTGCTGCCTGCAGAATCAAGATGTAGCTCCTTCTCCACTCTCAGTTCCTTCTCCAGCACCATGTCTGCCTGCCTGCCACCATGTCTCATCGTGGCAATAATGACCTAAACCTCTGAAACTGTAAACCAGCCCCAATTAAACATTTTCCTTTATAAGAGTTGTCATGGTGATGGTGTCTCTTCACAGCAATAGAAACCCCAAAGTTAGTGTAAAAGAATGGATACTTTAAAAAAAAAGTTTTTAAGATTTATTTTATTTTAAATGTATGAGTATTTTTCATGCATATATGTATGTAAGTCATGCATATACATAGTGTCCACAGAGGCCATAAAAGGGCATCAGATCCACAGATGGTTGTGAGCCACCATGTGGGTTCTGGGAAACAAACTTGGGTCCTCTGAAGAGCAGCCAGTACTCTTAACTGCTGAGTCAACTGTCTAGCCCTAGGACATTGCTTTTTTCATATAATGTCTCAGTAGGTAGCTGAGGCTCACCCCGAACATGTGGTAATTCTCCTGCCTCAGCCTCTAAATGCCAGGATTATAAGCACGAGCCACACACAATGCATCCTGACACTTTGTGTACTTGCATGTTTGTGCAGTTATATACATGCATGTAGGGGATGAATGTCAAACTCTGCTCTCTTTTCTCAAGCTGTCCACTTTGTTGGAGAGATAGGGTCTTTCACTGGGACTTAGGACTAGCCTATTAGACTAGGTTGGCTGGCCAGCAAACCCCAGAAATCTACACTGGGATTATATGTATACCACCACGTCCATCTTATTATGTGGACGTTGGGGTTTGAACTCCAATCATGAAGCTTGTTTGGCAAGCATTGAATTGATTATGCTATCACTCTAGCCCCTGCTTTGTTTTGTTTTTGAGGCAGAGTCTCACACAGTCTAGGCTGGCCTAGAACTCGTGGTTTTCCTGGTTACACTTTGAAAATGATTGCTGGGATTGCAGGTATGGTCCACATCTAATTTTATTTGGTACTAGGGATCAAATCCAGGGTTTTTGAAAGCTAGGCAGCACTCTACCAACTAAGCTACAACCCCAGCCCCATAGTAACGTTTTTGAAGGCGTATTAATAAAGATCTTTTCCTTAAAGTGCCTGTCTTTGGAGTTAATAATGAGGCTGCCAACATCTGAAGGTCTATTTGGGTAATTAGCTGTAGTTTGATCTCTAAAGTAGAGAGCTGGTTTCAAGTCCTTGAAGAAGTGTGTTTGATGTCTGGCTCCTATGTGTTGTATGGCAGATTGATAGATGACCATCATTAACCAGGGTATCAATTAGGAAATATTTGCAGTCATCTAGGCAAGAGAGCAGTAGGAGGAGAAGTCTAGGTATAGCCCAGGCTTTTGGCTTAACAGACCTGAGCAGATGAAGAAATATGATCAGTTAGAAAGAATGCCATATGGTCTCTAGTGTAATCATTACAAATGCTGTATGGCACCAAAGAAAAACACCCCGTGATCTTATAGTAGCTGACAAAAACAACCAAATCGTGTCTGCACCATTTATGACTAGATACCCACCCATGTTGTATATAGTAAGTAGATGAGGTTCTAGGTTGCTGTGTAGTTCATACACTCCATCAGCGTGTGCACAGCTGAGCTTTTCTGTATGTGTGTCTGTACATTTATGTGCATCTGTCCTTTCTTAGTTCCCTCACAGCCCCAGTTAGGTTTTTAGGATCATACCATGTTGGGCAAGATAGGACAGTCTATGGTGTTTAGAGAGATCATATCTCAAACCAGAATTAAAATCCCCCAAACCCAAAGATCACACTAGCTTCTTTTATTACATTTATTTATTTATTGTGTGTGTGTGTGCATGTGTCATGTCAAGGCACAAGTATGGAAGTCAGTGAACACCTGTGGAAGTTGGCTCTCTCCTTTTACCATGCGGTTTCAGGTGACTCATTTTGTCAGCCCTTGCTTTTTTTAAATAATTCCAGACTCTCAGGGGCTTTATTCAAGAAGAGTCTTTTTGTTGTTCAGTGTGGTCAAGTGGGAGTTTGCTAACTGAATAGTTTAAGAATGCTTGGGTGTTTCACCCAGTGAGTAGATGGTGGGTGGAAGAGCATCGAGGATGGTGTGGAATGTTTTCAGGATTATACCTGCCTTAGTTAGTGTTCTATTGCTATGAAGAGACACCATGACCAAGGCAATGTAAAGAAGAGAACATCTAATCGGTAGCTTATTTACAGTATCGGAGGGTGAGCTCATGGCTATTATGGCGGAAAGCATGGCAGCAGGCAGGCAAGCATAGTGCGTGAGCAGCTGAGAGCTTAAATCTAATCCACAAGCAGGAGAGAGAGAGAGAGAGAGAGAGAGAGAGAGAGAGAGAGAGAGAGAGAGAGAGAGAGAGAACATGGCAGGACAGAAATTGCCTTTACAGAGATAGAGAAACACAGAGAGGGACTCTGCTTGGTGTGGGCTTTTGAAGTCCCACAGTGCATCCCCAGTGACACATCCCCTCAAAGAAGGCCATATTTATATTTATTCCATCAAGGCCACACCTCCTAATCCTTCCCAAACAGTTCCACTAACTGGGTATCAAACATTCAAACATATGGGCCTATGGGGTCATTAGCATACAAACCATCAGAATATTTGAACTGCCATGTGACAACTTTGCCCAGGTTTAATTGGCCAGAACTAAATTACCTGGCCCTTTACAGTCAGTTAATTGTAGCACAGGTGAGAAATGTTTAAGTCAGTGCCTATGAGGAAAAAGAAATGAATTCGGAAAACATATGGCCATTCTCTGCCATTTTTTTCATTCAGTCAATAATTTTTTTAAATTTCTTCTTCTTCCCATATGCAGAATATCTTTTCCTACCATGACTCTCAGTAAATTACACAAAGACACTATATTCAGCCCAAATCCCTGGGTAATGTGTCTAACCCTAACTTGCTTGTCTAACACAGATACAATTTTTTCTTTGAGTAATTTAAAACCAGGATCTC